GGGGCAAGGGGTGGGACCGGGGGCGGGGGGGTCCGGTCGGGTTGGGGGTCGGAGGAGATAAGTCGGTCAGGGGCAGGGGCGGGAAGAGGGGGGCGACGGGAGGGGCTCATGGGAGGCCGGGGAGAGGGACAGGGGGTGGAGCGGGCGCGGTGCCGCGGGGTGGGGTTGGTGGAGAGGCCGAAGAGGGAGGTGTGGGGGGGGTCAGAGGCTGGGGGCGTGGCGCGGGTGGGCGGTGCGTGTGGGGAAGGGGGGGGGAGAGGAAGGGGTCTTAGGACGGGGTGGGGGGTGTAGCCCGGGCGATAGCGGGGTGGGCGCGGGCGGAGGGAGGGGGTGGTCGGGGGACGTGAGAGCGGGTTGGTCACGTGTCTAGGCGGGGGGGTGCGGGGGGGTGTGGTGGTGAGGTGGCGCGGAGTGCGACGAGTGTGATGAGACGGGTAAATGTGGAATAAACCGCGTGACGATGGAGAGGGGGGTGGGCGTGAGGGGATGAGGATTGGTGGGCGAAGCGGGGCATAGGCTCGAATGGGGTGAGCGGCGGGGGTGGGCAGCGGTAGGAGGGAGGCTAGTGGGTGGGGAGCGGACTGGGGGGTGGCGGGTGGAAGGCAGTCTCGATGGGGCGTCGCGCGGTTGGCCGGGGGAGAGGTGAGGTTAGCCGTCTAGTCGGGGAGCAAGGCGGAGTGTCGAGGCTGGTGTGTGGTGTCGCGTTGATCATGGGGGGGGCGGGGGCTTAGATGGAGGGGTGGTGGAGCACGGCGTGGTTGCGGGCCGGGGGGGGGTCCGCGGGGAGGGCAGGATGGGGGGAGCGGAGCGCGTCGGGGCGGGCGAGGGCGCGGCTGGGTATGGGGGGCGGAGGGGCGAGAGAGCGAGGGGGGGAAATGGCGTGTGGCGGAGAGGTCGGCGTAGTGCGCCGGCGGAAGTGCTGGCGGCGGGGCGGGGGGGGATGGGCCTCTTTGGACTGTGCGGGTGGATGTCTGCGGAGGGGAAGGTGTGAGGTGGGTGAGGTGGATCCGGGTTGTACGTGGGTGGGGCGCGGGGACTGGTATGTCGGGCATTGGGGGGGGCGAGGGGGTGGTATCCGGGGGGGCACGTTTAGAGGGGGGGTAGGGAACGGGGAGGGCGGGTGGATAGGGGAGGGAGGGGTGTTGGGGGGGCTGTCTCTTCATTGCAAACGGGGTCCAACTTTCGTTGTATGGAGCGTGCTAGTAGTGTTACGTAGGTTTTGGTTGACGCTTATGACTGATATCGTGATTTCTGGGCGTGGATGCTTTTTTCGTTTTGGCACGGCCGATTGAGGATTGGTGTACGCGTTATGTCCTTGTAAGATTCTGCGATGCTTTCATTTGGGGGTTATTTATGCGGTTCCGGACGGTGTTTTGTGAGTTGATGTGGATTCGCTTGGAGATCTTAGTGATTTTTGTGCGGTTTGGGTAATACGAGTGTTTATTGTGGTTGTGTGTATGCAACGAATCCGCCTATTCATGTTGGGTTGTAGTTTTATTTGTAGTGGTGAAGTGGTCTGGAGCCCGAAAAAGACTGCTGTATGTGGTACTCCGCGGCTGGGTGTTAATTGAGATGGGGGGTCTTGTTACCACAAGCGTGGTTCGTGTCTTTTCCGTGGGATGGTGTGGGTTGATTTACGTGAGGTTTGGATTGTCGGGATATGGTGTCGAGCGCTAGCCGTGAGGGTTGAGTAGGGGCTATGCTGAGAGGCTGTTATCGGTTGAGGGATTAGGAGGTAGGACTTGGGCCTCGTGTTTAGCCTTGTGGTGCCGGTGCGAAAAGTGTACATCTTATCTCCATAGTATTTAAGCTTGGATGATGGTGTGTACGGAAAGTATCTGGGTTTATTTAAGCCACTCTCTGGTTTACGTAATGGCCTTGTTTGTATACGCGTCCGGGCCACGGGATTGATCGGTTTTCTGGCTTTTTCCGCAGAGTTTGGTGTTTTATCTCAGTCGTTGCGGGGTCGGGTATGCTTCGGGGCGTTGACGGAAATAGGTCGTGGGGTGCGGTTTTATGCAGAACGGTTCGGTTCGGGTCGTGGTGTTGTTAGAGCGTTGACCAGGTTTGTTGGGTGATCGGGTGGCGCCGGTCTGCAGTATGTGGTGTGGGGTTAATCCCTCGAGGGTTGTCATGTGTTGTGGTAGTTGTTGGGTGGGTGAGGGGGGGGGCCAACGGGAGGTGGAGGTTCGTGGGCGTTGTGCTGGAAGCGGATACCTTGCAGGCGTGCAGTATGGTGTGCGGCGCCGCAAAGGGTGTGAGGTGTTCAGGGATTGGTTGACGGTGGGAGCGGCGGGGTGTGCTCTTGGGGATGGGTTATAAGCCTGCTCCACGGCGATGTGTGAGTGTTTGGGGATCTATTTTGGGCTTTTGTCATTTGAGCGGTGCATGTAGAGGGTATGATTTGTAATTTGTGGTTCGTGTAATTTGGCAAGCGTCCAGTGGTAAAGCTTGTTTTTGGTCCGCGGGTTTAATCCGTCCGTATGTGTTGCAGGTTGTGGCTTATGTTTTAGAGAATAGGGTTCTAGTCGTCTCCATCCGCCATTCCTTGGTCTTATTTTGCTGTATTCAGGTGATCGTGTGGTGGTTTTGCGAGAGTTTCGTTTACGCGTGTATTCTTATTGGATCCGTTTTAGGTGTTTGTACTTTGTGTTCTGACTTTCCGTTGGTTATTATGATTGTTTCGGTGTATCGTGTGTTGAGGGACTTGTGATGTGGAGCCTATTAAAGTTTTTTATTGCTATTGCGGTCCGTGTGTTGCATCTAGGTTATGATGGGTTATGAGGGTGCGACACGGGGGTTGTTAGTGATATGGGGTTTGGTAGGCGGTGGTGCGTCCGAGATGTATGGGTTTGTCGTCGTGTTAAGGTCATGAGTTGTTGACTTTCGTTGTCTGCACTCACCCTATCAGGAGGAGTTGACTGGGTGGTGCGGATAGGGGGTGTGTGTGTGTGTCTGTTATGGGTAGTTGGATGGGTAGGCAAGAGGCCTAGGTCTGGGTGCCCGTCTAGGGTGCTAGTCAGGGGTGGGGTTGCGGTTTTTGGGTATGGGAGAACGGAGCGGTTTTTTTGTGCTTGTGCCCCGCTCTATAGTCTTCGGGGGGGGGGGTGTGGAGGTGGCACAGTAAGTGAGTCGGGGGGCTTGCGGGGGTAGTGTGGGAGGTGGGTTAGGTTCGCGGGGCGGGGGCGGGACGGTAAGAGGAGGGCATGGGAGGGTTTTGTGAGTGGGGATAGGGACGGTGAGGCAGGCGCGGGGTTAAGTGGCGTGAGGTTGGGGGGGACCTTGCTGGGGGGTTTGTAGTGTGGGGGGCCAATGCGAGGATAAACTTAGGTATAATGTTGTGCAAGGGTGGCGTGCGTTTGTGGAGCGGGTGTTTTTTGAGTGATAAGTTCCAGCTTAAGTGGGCCGTGCCCGGGGGCTGTGGTGTGTGGTGTAAGTTGTTAGGGGGTGGGGTGTCTGATGAAGGTGCTTTTTTGGCCCCGGTGAAACGGGGTGGTAAGTTTGTTGCGGTGTCTAGTGGGTGATGTGTGTAGGCGCAACGAGATGTTTATCGGTCCAGTAGTGGGGGGAAGGTACGAGGGCTTGCGGCGATGCTCTTGGTGCCCTGGAAATATAGGTTTGTATAGGCGGTGGAGTAATGAATAGGGGAAGTCGTGGGAGTTGTACGCCCTTATACGTGAGCTAGTGGGGGCTGGTGTTAGGCGTGGGGGTGCGTGGATGGTGCGGTGAGGTGGCGGGAGTTAGCTCGGGTCTCGGGTTGTGGAGGTGAGCGTGGGTTAATTGTGCTAGGGGTCGTATAGTAATATGGTCCGGGTTGGTTAGTGCCCGGCGATAGACGGTGGCTTTGCGGGGGTAGCGGATGTGTCGAGACTGCTTAAGAAAGTCTGATTAGGGTTGGGTTTTTGGTGGAGGTGATAAATGGCCCCGTTTGGAGTATAAAGCTGAGGAAGGGGGGCACCTCGTGGGGTCTTTACTGTTCATTTTTTTCGTTCCGAATCCGCTGTCGCATTCGCTATTCAACTCTGTTCTGCTGATTGTCGTTTGGGTGTAGGATTTGTTAATTCTATAGTCCTTGCTTATGTTGAGTGCCAGTTTTCGATGTAGGATGGTGTTTCGGTCTCGTGTGTGCGCCCTGCCGTCGTGTGTTTGTGGAGCGTATCCGTGTTACGTCTGTAGTTCGTATGTCTACATGTTTTGCCTTCCTTAGATTCTTGTCTGTGGTGCTAGTTGAGCTGGAGTATTTAACGGTCTTGTTGTTGCTTTCTCGTTTTTACTTTATATCATGTTTGTCTTGTTTTGCCGTTCTTTTCTCAATGTTACATGTCCTTTTGTCTGCTGGGCTTGGTTGCCAGACTAGTTGAATTATTATGAGATTTGCCATCGTATTCCGGGATTGTAGGTATGCGTTTAACGTAATATAAAAAAACATACTGAGATTAATCTACTGCTGAGCGTCAGATTAGTCGGATGGGTGCCAAGACCGCGCGTAACCTTGAGTTGTTTCGTGTCGATGAAGTTTGTTAGGTTATTGGTAGTCGTTGTTGCGGGCTAAAGCGTTATTGTCTATTTTGGGGGTATTGGTGTGTTTTCGTTCGGTATATGGAGTTATCGGGTCGGGCTAGGTTAGCTTTGGATTGAGCGGTAAGTGTTTGAGTCTAGGTTTGGGCGGCCGGTGTGCGGAAAGGTTAGATGTTGATGTTTGTCGAGTCCGTTACTTATGGTACGTGCGTCTGGCGGGGGATGTTCGGGAGGGCGGCTTTTGGTTAAGGTGGCGGATGAAGGAGGAACATGGCGGTCATCGGTCGTCGACGTAAAGTGGGTTAGCGCCAGGGGACTGTGTTCTTAACGGGGGACGGAGATGTGTTGGGTCTTCGGGCCTGGGGGTGAGTTGTAAGGCGAGGCGTGCGGGTCGCATGCCGGTGGAATGCGCCTGGTGGGTTGGTTGTGAGTGGGGTGAGGGCTGCGGGCGGGTGAGTTTCGGTTTGGTGTCTCGGGATCGTGGCAGTCCATCAGGAAGATGTGCCGGAGGCGGATGTGTATGGGTCGTGTTCGCGCTGGGAGTGGATTTTGAATTTTGTGTGGACGGGCAAGGGGAGGCGGATTGCGGCGACGGGGAAGGGAGGAGGAGTTCGCCGGGGGGTGGCGGTGCTACCGTGTGCGGTGGGGGGGTGGTTGTTTGGGATAAGAGGGCGAGGAGTGGCGTGCGGCGGTTATGTGTGGGGGTAAGGGTGGGCGGGAGGCCGGGGGCGGAGGCTTCGGAGGGAGGATCATGCAGTGCGGCATGGGTTCTCGGTGTGGGGCAGATTATGCGGGGCGCGATAAGGTGGGGGAGTATAAGGTAGTATGCGGGGGTATTTTGCTTCTCGTACTAGGTTCTGTACGTTAACTGTTTTCTATTTGTATTTGTGTTGGGTTTATTTGTATTTATTTTGATTCAGAGTCTGGCCTACCTAGTTAGGTATTCTTGTGTGTAGGATTTATGTGTTTGCTTGTCAACACTTACACTGTCGGGGTATGATATGTTTTCTTTTTTGAGTAATGACTTGTTCCATAGTGACCTGTCTTTTTTCACAGTCATTTCGTCTCGGCGTGGTTTTTGTGTCTCTATCATTCCACAGTTCTATTCGGAGTTGTATTGGTGTTATTTATTATGGAATGTGATTGTCTTGGATATATTGTGGTGTCCTCCTGCTACTGTATGAGATATCTTAGTTCGGCTGTTTTGGTTTGCTTTTTTATCTCGTTTTGGAGGAGTGCTTTTTATGCTTTATTCTGGCGTTCTCGTGTTCAGTGGTAGTTATTGTGCAAGTTTGGTTGCTGTGGAACTCTGTTTGTTCGTAGGTCGGGGACTCTTAATGTGAGAGAGACACTGTTCACCTTGCTGTGGTGTTACGCTATTTTGGTGCTGTATGCTGAGCTCTTCTTGTTGACGGCCTCATACTTTGTATGTGGTATTTGGTGAAGGGCTGCGTTTGATGTGGGGAGGCCGCTGAACGCTCGTTTTGATCGGTCTTTCATCGTTCTAGGATAGGGATTGGATCTGTGTCAAGGA